AATTATGATATAATTTATCTTGCTCATAGGGGACACACAGAAATATGCCACTACTGATTACACAACAGGTTTTCGTACTGAAGAAACGATGTTCAAAATTTACTGTACATATCAGTGTATTTTCAATTTTATTTTACGCCTAACCCTGAATCCAGGGCTTGAGCACTAAACCCAATATTTAGGCAATAACCATTTAGGTTAAGCAACTCATTGAAATCATATGAAGAACGAAGAATTGGTTGCCAGATATCCATCATTAATTTAGCCCCCCCCCCTTTAAAAAGGTATTGAGAATTTGTTGTCACGTATACTAGTAACAAGAGGCCCATGGGCCACATCGCTCACCTGAGCACCAAGGGTAGGACTAGTATAAAATGGCTTTTTATTGTAAAGTTTAAATCCAAAAGTAGTCCCATGACCAATCATGGATTTGCTATTTTTTAGAAAATGATTGAGAAGAAGATTTTTAAAGAATTTTCCTATATATCTCTATGTAAAACTTTGGTCGGCCATTTTGGCCCCGCCCTACCCCCGGGGGTCATGATTTGAACAAAATTGAATCTACACTACCTGAACATGCTTCCATATAAATATGATGAATAATGGCTTTGTCATTCTTGAGAAGAAGATTTTTAAAGAATTTTCCTATATATCTCTATGTAAAACCTTGGTCGGCCATTTTGGCCCCGCCCTACCCCGGGGGGTCATGATTTGAACAAACTTGAATTTACACTACCTGAGCATGCTTCCATATATATATGATGAATTATGGCTTTGTCATTCTTGAGAAGAAGATTTTTAAAGAATTTTCCTATATATTTCTATGTAAAACATTGGTTGGCCATTTTGGCCCCGCCCTAACCCCCGGGGTCATGATTTGAACAAACTTGAATCTACACTACCTGAGCATGCTTCCATATAAATATGATGAATTATGGCTTTGTCATTCTTGAGAAGAAGATTTTTAAAGAATTTTCCTATATATTTCTATGTAAAACTTTGGTCGGCCATTTTGGCCCCGCCCTACCCCGGGGGTCATGATTTGAACAAAATTGAATCTACATTACCTGAACATGCTTCCATATAAATATGATGAATTATGGCTTTGTCATTCTTGAGAAGAAGATTTTTAAAGAATTTTCCTTATATCTCTATGTAAAACCTTGGTCGGCCATTTTGGCCCCGCCCTACCCCCGGGGGTCATGATTTGAACAAACTTGAATCTACACTACCTGAGCATGCTTCCATATATATATGATGAATTATGGCTTTGTCATTCTTGAGAAGAAGATTTTTAAAGAATTTTCCTATATATTTCTATGTAAAACATTGGTTGGCCATTTTGGCCCCGCCCTACCCCCCGGGGTCATGATTTGAACAAACTTGAATCTACACTACCTGAGCATGCTTCCATATAAATATGATGAATTATGGCTTTGTCATTCTTGAGAAGAAGATTTTTAAAGAATTTTCCTATATATTTCTATGTAAAACTTTGGTCGGCCATTTTGGCCCCGCCCTACCCCCGGGGGTCATGATTTGAACAAAATTGAATCTACACTACCTGAGCATGTTTCTATATAAATATGATGAATTATGGCTTTGTCATTCTTGAGAAGAAGATTTTTAAAGAATTTTCCTATATATTTCTATGTAAAACTTTGGTCGGCCATTTTGGCCCCGCCCTACCCCCAGGGGTCATGATTTGAACAAACTTGAATCTAAACTACCTGAGCATGCTTCCATATATATATGATGAATTATGGCTTTGTCATTCTTGAGAAGAAGATTTTTAAAGAATTTTCCTATATATTTCTATGTAAAACTTTGGTCGGCCATTTTGGCCCCGCCCTACCCCCAGGGGTCATGATTTGAACAAAATTGAATCTACACTACCTGAGCATGTTTCCATATAAATAACATAGGTAATCAGAGATTACAGAGCTCACCTCAACGAATGTTGTCTTTAAATAAGGCAAAGTCACACAATTAACCAACAAAAAATGTACATTCCAAAAATGAAAATATCTAAGCAATTTTGATCTGATACTTTGAAGTAGACCAACATAAAAAATTTAAAGTAGTTCTTCATGAAAATGTAATTCAGCATCTAAAGCAAATTTGAGTTTTCATCTCTTGATGCAACATTTGTGCAAGTTTGGTTTATACAATGTTATAAAAGCCTTAAAGTTTTTTGGTAATAGACCTGCAACCATAACTTTAACCTGGTCTATTATCTGAAAAATATATATGTCGAATTCAGCATCCGAAGCAAGTCCATTAGTGTGCATCCTAAGATGTATCGTCCATGCAAGTTTGCACATTATAAGGCTCATAGTTAATTGGAATTGAAACATACATCAAAAACTAACATTTTCACTCATCCACAAAATGTAGGTCAGATTCAGCATCCGAAGCAAGCCTGGTAGTATGCATCCTAAGATGTATCATCCATGCAAGATTGGTCATTAAAGAACTCATAGTTACTTGGAAATGAAACCTGCACCAAAAACTTTTACTTGTTCACTCAACCGGAAAATGTAGGTCAGATTCAGCATCCGAAGCCCGGTAGTGTGCATCCTTAGATTTATCATCCATGCAAGTTTGGTCAACATAGGGCTTAAAGTTACTTGCAAATGAAACCTGCTCCAAACACTT